CTGTTTTTGATTTTTCAGATTTTCACACTTAGCTGTTGTCAAATTTACAGGGTGAGTCCCCAATGTTTTGGCTAATTGTAAATTCGTGTTTTAAATACAATATCATTAGTCGGAGCTAGGGCTTCAAACAAACCGAACTCGAGCATTTTGATTTCGAGTTCAGTTCGAGCTGAGCTCGAATTATTGTAATTTAAACCGAGCTCGAGTTATTGTAATTTTTATCGAGTCGATTTCGAGCTCGAGCAGCTAAAAAAAAATTCAATTCTACTCGATAAGGCCAATGCTCAACTCGGCTCATTACAGCCCTAGTCTTAGTACCGGTATTGCCACTGATAGGTAGTATTACATGTTTCAATTGTTAATATCGTTGGTATTACCAGATATAATATTTTATATATTTTTTAATATTAAATATAAAAGAAAATTTATTAGGTTTTAACTACTCTATAATTTAATATTACAGGTATCTTGTGGGATATTTTTGGTAGAACTCTGTTACACAATTCGATATTACAAAAATTCGTTACAAGAGAAATACAATAAATAAGTTTGTTTGACACTTAACAAGTAGCGGATTGTTAATTGAATCAGTTAAAGGCGAATAGCTGGTTGAATTATTAGTTTTAACATAATAATTCAATTAATTAATTATATAAAGTATTTGGTAAAAAATCAAATATAAATATGTAAAAATTAATTAGTTTTACAATTCTCAAATAATTAAATTATAAATTTTGAATGGTCCTAATTTAATGACAAGAGGCTGTTTTCTTAGTTTTATTTTTACAAAAAAGTTCGAAATATAATTTATGAGTCACGAAAATTAATATGGTTTCAAATTATAATTTCTACAAAATTGATTTGATGGTTCGTATGCCATTTCGCAAATCGACAAATTAAGCCAATCATTTCGACATCACTGTTGAGCCCAACTAAATAAAAAATGATCCCCACACACGAAGAAGAGTTTATTCATGATGGGTTGACTTTGTCAAATGAGTTTTGATTCGATTTTTTTTTTATTATTATTATTATTAATTATTGGAACTAATTTTGAAAAAATTAATAGTGTTTAATTAAATTTGAGTTAGATTTTGAATAAAAAAATAATTGATACAAAAGGATTGATCAAATTTGTATCAAAGAAAGCACTAAACGAATTGAAGGTCTTAAGGGGGTGACTGGGCAACACATTATGGATATTTTTTTTATACTTTTAAATGAAAATTTAACTTAACTTTAATCAAACTCAACTATTAATTAATATTATTAATATAATAATATCAATTAATAATTCTTATATATTACATTAACTTTAATTTATTATTCTTCTACTTATATATTTTTAATTACATATCATTTTTGTTAATCTCTTTCATACTTTTACGTCACACCAACTTTAATAATTAAATTTTATAATATTATTTAAATACAAACTCAAAATCCTACTCAATCCTCCACATAAAAAACTCATTTTATTTACATGCAATCACTCCTTGAATATTTAAGTTTGAGCTCAAGTTATTTTGATCGAGCCAATAAATGGGCTTGACTCGTCTTATTAATTTCTTTAAGTTAACATGACGAACTAGATTATTAACTTTTCAGCTCATTTACGGCCTATTTATATACAGGTTGAAGTTCTGGCCTTGACCTCCCACTCTTATGGGGTGCTGTTTGTTTAAAAAAAAAACTAAGCTAACAGTTCAAAATAATTTGTAACTCTCTTCATTTTCAAGTTTTGACGAGAGAAAATCAATTCGAGTAATAGACAGTCCCGTAAGAGAGTCGTAACTCGCAAACAACTCAATTTATTTAATAGCTACAATTACAACAAAGACAATGTAATTCATAAAATTGGGACACTTGTGTAATCATTGGAATTGAAGGGGACCAGATTTCTTATGGGACTATCAAAGATTAATGAGATATGAATGTACTTTGTATTGCCCACCAAACCCAAGTATATATATACTAGTCTACATATGACATCATACAACTCTTATCTTTTGAATTTTAAGCAATAATCGCCATTAATATGATATTGAAACAAACCGGTTCTACTAATTTGTCATCTATTTAAATTATTAATTGAAAAACAATGTGAAAAAATGTCAGTACTTTAAAATTTTATGAGATTAGGGAATATTTGAGCGAGAAAAATAGAATTATATGTACGAAATAATATTTCAATTTTGTCGCTATATAATTTTTAAAAAATAAAATGAGGCGATATACGGACAAATAATCAAGAAACTATTAAGGAGTATTACTCATTAAAACCTGATATTAGTGCGTTATCAATCAACATACAAAAAAGTATTACCAACAGGAGTTGGTTCAATTGGTAAGCAGTTTGATGTCGTTTAAGCAAGGTCTCGGGTTCGATCCTTGTGAATGTAGAAAACTTTTGTTGGGAGACTCACCCACCATTGTCAAGTGTGCGACCCAGGTTGACCAATGGGAGACTCACCCACCATTGTCAAGTGTGCGACCCAAGTTGACCAACTGATTAGTCGGGGCAATACTTCAGATATCGTGTCTGGCTACCAAATAAGAAAAAAACATACAAAAAAGTATTGCCCAAGACTTTTAGGCAGCTATAATATAAGCTTATAATAAAGTTAAACATGCCATGCAGCAGTCATATGACCGACCGACTTCAAGTGGGTTCAAATTCAACTACTATGTTTTTTTTTTTTTT